AAAAACTATAGGAACTCATAATCCTAATAAATCAGTGGTCTGACATTAACAGAGCACTGTTGCCCACCACTAACTCTTATGATCAGCCTCATCTTTGAGATTTTAACCTTTAAATCTCTGAAAGGTAGCACATTTCATTTCTTAGGGCAGGAAAATTCAGGTAAGAAGTGATGGTGAAGGGTCAAAGTAGCTCTCAATGACCAATATGGAACAACTGAACAACAAATGTTATTACAGCATCAGCATGAACGTAATAGTTGAAATAAGTAGAGTTTGTAAAAGGTCCTGAGTCTATTGGCATTTCTTTCACGAACGTGTTTTCTGTTCTCCACACCAGTGGAAAACTAAGCTCCTTATTATAGAGGGAGCCATATAGGGATTAGACAATTTGCGCCTTTCTCCATTTCCTGAAGTAGGTATTTGTTTGTTTTAATCACAGTTTCAAAAGCTGTTTTTGAAAAGTAATTTGGGAAATACATGAACTGACAACTTATGAGTTGAAAATAAAAAGGGTGCTTCTTTTGGTTTATTTCATCTTAAATCTGAAAGCATCCCATTTGAAACAGGCTTATTTTTTCGATTTCAAAGCTGACTTTGAAAAGCAAGGCTCCTGGACAAGGAAAAACAGGCTCTTTCATATCTTTTGCCAAATGAACCTAACATTTCTTAAGATATGTCATAGATAGCCTATTTATGAACTACTAATATATGTGAGAAATTCCTGTGGTAATAAAATAAAAAGGAATAAAAGCTTCACAGAATAAAAACCTAAAATGATTGTTTATATCCAATAGATTTAAACTAAGTAGCAGGGAAGAACCAGCCCTGGGGGCACCACATGAGCTCTGGATCCCATTACATCCCACCTTCTAAGCAAATTCACTCTACTAGTTATTTCTCTTTGCTGTATATTGTCATCTTTTCTTTTCCACTAAATATCCTATAAGCATTCAAACATACTACAGTCTCTACCATCTCAAAAAATAATGTCCCCACAATCCCACTTCCCCATCCAGCTGCTGCCTCTCTTATGCATGCACATGTTGCTATAATTTTTCAATTCTCACATGAGATTTCACCCAGCACAATCAAGATTTTACCTCAATCACCCAGCACAAACTACACACAGTAACTTCCATGCAGCCATACCTAATGGGCTCCACTTTTCACCACCTACTAAAAGTCACTCTTTTTTATGAAATCCCCTTGGCTCTTGGCTGCTATAACATCTCACTTGGTTTCCCTCTTGTCTCCCCATACTCTTTCCTTTTTCTTTCAATGATCTACACAACCTTTGTATATTTATGTCCAGATCTAATTCCTAAACCTCCTCCCTTTTTTTGACCCTTTACTTGTGTGAGATAAGTGCAACTGTACAATAGTTTGAGCATTCTTTGGCATTGCCTTTCTTTGAAATTGGAATGAAAACTGATCTTTTCCAGTCCTGGGGCCACTGCTGAATTTTCCAAATTTGCTGACATATTGAGTGCAGCACTTTCACAGCATTATCTTTTAGGATTTGAAATAGCTCAACTGGAATTCCATCACCTCCACTAGCTTTGTTCATAGTTATGCTTCCTAAGGCCCGCATGACTTCACATTCTAGGATGTCTGGCTCTAGGTGAGTGATTACACCATCATGATTATCTGGGTTGAGAAGACCTTTTTGTATAGTTCTTCTGTGTATCCTTGCCACCTCTTAATATCTTCTGCTTGCTAGGTCCAGACCATTTCTGTCCTTTATTGAGCCCACCTTTGCATGAAATGTTCCCTTGGTATCTCTAATTTTCTTGAAGAGACCTCTAGTCTTTCCCATTCTATTGTTTTCCTCAATTTCTTTGCATTGATCACTGAGGAAGGCTTTCTTATCTCTCCTTGCTATTCTTTGGAACTCTGCATTCAAATGGGTATATCTTTCCTTTTCTCCTTTGCCTTTTGCTTCTCTTCTTTTCTCAGCTATTTGTAAGGCCTCCTCAGAGAACTATTTTGCCTTTTTGTATTTCTTTTTCTTGAGGATGGTCTTGATCCCTGCCTCTTGTACAATGTCATGAACCTCCATTCATAATTCTTCAGGCACCCTGTCTATCAGATTTAATCCCTTGAATCTATTTGTCACTTCCTCTGTATAATCGTAAGGGATTTGATTAAGGTCATTCCTGAATGGTCTAGTGGTTTTCACTACTTTCTTCAATTTAAGTCTGAGTTTGGCAATAAGGAGTTCATGATCTGAGTCACAGTCAGCTCCCAGTCTTGTTTTTGCTGACGGTATAGAGCTTCTCCAACTTCAGCTGCAAAGAATAGAATCAATCAGATTTTGGTGTTGACCATCTGGTGATGTCCATGTGTAGAGTCTTCTCTTCTGTCTTCTCTTGGGCTTCCCTGATAGCTCAGCTGGTAAAGAATCTACCTGCAATGCAGGAGACCTGGGTTTGATCCCTGGGTTGGGAAAATCCCCTGGAGAAGGGAAAGGCTATCCACTACAGTATTCTGGCCTGGAGAATTCCATGAACTCACAAGAGACTGACCCAGACTTGCCTGTGAGTATCCAGGAGTCTCTGGCGGAGGCGTGGGTCGGCTCTGGCCTGCTGCAGGGCTGGGGGCGCTGAGTGCAGCAGTGTGTGCATGGGACCTTTTGAAGGAGGTCGCCATTATCTTTGTTACCTCCACCATAGATTGGCCTCAGGCCAAGTAACAGGGAGGGAACACAGCCTCATCCATTGACAGAAAATTGGATTAAAGATTTACTGAGTATGGCTCAGAACAAGACCCAGTTTCCACCTCAGTCAGTCTCTCCCATCAGGAAGCTTCCATAAGCCTCTTATCCTTCTCCATCAGAGGGAAGACAGACTGAAAACCACAATCACAGAAAACGAACCAATCTGATCACAAGGACCACAGCCTTGTCTACCTAAGTCAATGAAACTATGAGCTACCCAAGGGCTACCCAAGACAGACGGGTCATGGTGGAGAGTTCTGACAAAACGTGGTCCACTGGAGAAGGGAATGGCAAACCACTTCAACATTCTTGCCTTGAGAACCCCATCAACAGTATGAAAAGGCAAAAATATAGGAGACTGAAAGATGAACTCCTCAGGTTGGTAGGTGCCCAATATGCTACTGAAGATCAGTGGAGAAATAACTCCAGAAAGAATGAAGAGACAGAGCCAAAGCAAAAACAACACCCAGTTGTGGATGTGACTGGTGATGGAAGTAAAGCCTGAAGCTATAAAGAAAATATTGCGTAGGAACCTGGAATGTTAGGTCCATGAATTAAGGCAAATTGGAAGTGGTCAAACAGGAGATGGCAAGAGTGAACATTAACATTTTAGGAATCAGTGAACTAAAATGGACTGGAATGGGCGAATTTAATTCAGATCACCATTATATCTACTACAGTGGGAAAGAATCCCTTAGAAGAAATGGAATAGCCTGCATAGTCAACATGAGTCTGAAATGCAGTACTTGGGTGCAATCTCAAAAACAACAGAATGATCTCTGTTTATTTCCAAGGCAAACCATTCAACATCACAGTAATCCAAGTCTATGCCCCAACCAGTAATGCTGAAGAAGCTGAAGCTGAATGGTTCTATGAAGACCTACAAGATCTTCTAGAACTAACACCCAAGAAAGATATCCTTTTCATTATAGGGGACTGGAATGCAAAAGTAGGAAGTCAAGAGATACCTGGAATAACAGGCAAATTTGGCCTTGGAGTACAGAATGAAGCAGCTTTGCCAAGAGAACACACTGGTTATAGCAAACACCCTCTTCCAACAACACAGGAGAAGCCACCCTCATCTCTTGCTAAAATCCTTCCATGGTCTGCGAGGCCCTACATGACCCGGCCCCTGCCTACCTCTTCAGCTCTCTCTCCCAATACTTTTCCTATTGCTCACTTTACTGCAACTAGTCACCCTGTTCTTAGCTTACATACATCCTTCAAGTATCAAGGGAAATATTATTTCCTGCCCTAAATTCCCCAATACTGGTTTATAGAGGGACTTGTGGGCCTGAAGGAGACCCTAAATGGAGAGAAAACTATGGGAAGCATTTTGAAAGAGTGAGGTGGAAAAGGAAGCAATTTTCAGGACTAAGAATGCATTGGCTGAAGTAGAACATACTTGAACATACTATAACAGTATCTTCTATTAAACCTCCACTATATGCTCTCATGGCTTCCTATAATTCTCATTCATAAAATGTACCAGGGTTCTATTCAAATACTATGTGTGCATGTACTTAATGTCCAACATCCATACTAAGTAGTAACTTTCTATTAACGCTCCATAAGTGTCAGCTCAATGAATACTATATAATATGGCTTTAAATGAATGTAATTTTAGTCCAAGCGCTACTTAACTCTAATAGTAACTGTCCACTCAAGTTGGGGTATTAAATATGGCTATTAGATTTAGTTATTAGAGTTGATTACTTAGATGATTATTAAAGTTAATGAGCAGTTTTTTCATGAGATTCATTGACCGTAACCATACTGCTCTCCTCTCATTTTCAGACATGATTTTCCCCCCTCCCTACTTTTTCTATCTATAATAAACAGGTCTTAAGAGATGGAATACTGTACACTCATAACTTGTATGTGAAGATTTGATTGTCAGCTCAGTAGGTTATAGCATGGCTCTGAAAGTAGCAAATCACATGGGTTTAGAACTCCAAAATCAGTAAGCCAGACACAAAAAGCATCCCTCTCATTGTATGTCATTTCTTTAAAATGAAGCAGGTGAGAAAATGTAGCTTGATTAAATACGAACCCATCCCCTCTACTAGGGAAATAATACAAAGAAAAACTTTTAGAACAATAGCTGGACTGTGGCTTCTTTTATACAGACAGCAAATGTATAAAATTACAGTGGAGAAGTTAATTTGGTATGTAAATATCCACATGATCACTTATATGTTCAGGATCCATATAGCTGAACAATGGCTAAATATATGGAACTCAAGTAAAATTTAATAAATTGACAAATACAACCCGGTTCTACCTGTATGGTTGGTAAAAACACATAAGGTCAGGTGTTTGGATAATTCCTCTTGGTCTTGAAGATCACTATATCCAAAGTTGACAAGTCTAAGAACATAAAGGATAAGAATTTACAAATAAGTTCCCTCATAAAAGATGTGAGTAACCACTATAATTTATCCACATGTCTCTGAGAAATTTAAGTAGATAATGTCTTTTTGTTAAAATAAATAAGTAAAACAATAATTTTTCAATCCTTGGTCCAGGAAGATCCCATACGCTGCAGACAGCAACTAAGTCCATGTGCCACAAATACTGAGCTTGTGGTCCCAGGAACTGCGACTACTGAAGCCTTCGTGCCCTGGAGTCTGTGCCCCACAAGAGAAGCCACCACAATGAGACGCTACTAGAGATAGTCCCCGCTTGCCACAACTAGAGAAAAGCCCACACGGCAGTGAAGACCCAACACAGCCAAAAAATAAATAAATAAAATTATTTTTTAAAAAACAGTAATTTTTTAAAATACATGGGATATAAATGGCATGGTCCTGGCAATAGGGAAAAGAATACACAATATTTCAACTTTTGTCTAGTTTTAGAATAATGTTGATGCTACATTTCAAAATAAACAGAATATATGAATATTCATTCATATATGATCAAATAAAGCTAGTGAAATGCAGCATTTTGCAATTATCATTAATTCAGGAAGACTTTAATTTCTTCTGTGCACTGATGGCTCTCAGCCTATTTTTTCAAAAGCAGCTCCTGTTTTTACCAAATGTAAAATAGTCTGGCGGGGGTCGGGGGTGGAAACCTTGCCTTTTGTATAAAAATGAAAACAGGGGAAAGCAATAGACACAGCTGAGCTATAAATGGATTGACCTGAGACATCCTCTTTGATGGCAACAAGAAAAGGGTTCTGATGCTTCATTCTAAACACAGAGCTTTCTGACTCTGACTCTGAATCTTTTTATTGAATTACAGAGCCCTTCCACAGATCAAAAAAATGAAGATACCCTATAGAAATAAATGGCTAAGAAAATCAATGTGATTGCCTTTACATGGAAAAACCCTGTGTTTATACTTGGTAACACTGTTTATATTCCCTATAGAAAACAGAAACTGAAAAGATGACAAACACTCCCTCACACAAACAGAACATCAAATTATCCTTTTAGCAGTATATCACAGATTATGTTTAAATATAATCATTCTGTCCAGAAGTGTCTATAAGAAAATAATAATAATTTAGGAGTAACCTACTTGAATCCTGAGTCACTTAATGATATATCCAAGGGTGCTTCAAACTGTCAAAAAATCAAGTGATAACAAAGCAAAAGATGACATTAGTTAAGTGATGATAGTTCTGGAAACCAGAGCAAACCTGATGACACTATGTTTACATAATGATGAAGAGCTCCTTTAACTAGCATTATCTTCAGAGGCTATTTCACAAGTCCACATAGAGAAAGTGCACTGGGAATATTCTGGAGTCTACACAGATCACAAGTTTGATGTATATTTATCAATCATAAATATACATCAAGATTTTGCTTCAGATTTGACTACCATAGATGGGTTGTGTAATAAGTCAATTGGAAGGAGTAGGCTTTTATAGGACACAGATGGTTGTGTAGGGAGGGAAGGAATGGTGTCTTTAGAAAGAGAAAGAGTGTGAGTCCAAAAGGCAGGGGGTGGGGGCAGGAGGAGTAAACGGAATTCTTAGAGTGGTATGATGTCAATCTGCATTAGACACCAATAGTAATCCTAGCCAGGGAGAATAATAATGTTCTGTCCATCACAGATAAAGATACTTAGGACTCCTCACTACAAAGATACTTCTCACTACACTCCAAATACTTTTCCAGGAGTGATTCTAGACTTTTACTAATTAAACTATATCCTCTCATCAACTTTAGACTCAATCCACCATCCTCACACATCCTTTTGGATCAAACGACGTGTAATCACGTACTACTGAGCACACCTACCACATACTACCTCCTACTAAATACTACCTTCTACTAACCCTCACTCTTAACCATGTTTCTTTATTGTGAAGCATTCAATTGGCAGAAATTCCCTGTGTGTGCTTTTCTAATCACTTATATTAATTGCATTTACTATAAAGCTGAAGCTTTGAGCTGGCAGGAACTATCTTACTTGCTCATACAAGCTATTAATACATGATGAAGAATGCTAAAATGCTCTTTATGATAACTTTCATTAAAAAGGAGCAATGGTTAGTATAAGGGCTTCCCTTGTGGCTCAGTTGGTAAAGAATTCACCTGCAATGTGGGAGACCTGGGTTCTATCCCTGGGTTGGGCAGATCCCCTAGAGAAGGGAAAGGCTACCCACTCCAGTATTCTGGCCTGGAGAATTCCATGGACTGTATAGTCTATGGGGTCATAGAGTCAAACATGACTGAGCGATTTTCACACAAATCACAAAATGGCTATAAAATTTCACCATACAACCCAATCATTTTCCGGACTTACCATTAACTTAAAGTGCTCATCAGCATAAAACTGGATGCATTTTAAGACACTCCTTGATTTCTAAAAGAGAAAACAGAGTGACAAATTAAGAAAACAAACAAACAAACAAACAAACACTAAAGAGAGAGAGAAAAGGAAGCAACCAAAAAGTAAACAGTAATGAAAATCTTCATTATTTGTAATAAACTTTGACTGACTGCTCTCATCAATGAAAATGAAGTAATTAATAAATTACAATAATGATAATTCAAAATTAAAACACTCCCATAAAAAAGAAAGCCAGTGGACTAGTTTTTACCTTCAGATCAATATAGTATAATCTCTGCTCTGACATATCCCACTGAGCCCAAACAAAATCTTCGGCTACTCTCTCTCTTGGGAGATGGCCAGAATTTTTAATTACCTAAGGAGGCAAAGAGATTTTAGAAATAAATAACTGTTTTTAAAAAGAACATATCTGGGTTTCATAATTATTTTGAATAGTCTATCTTTATAATACATGTAAATATTTCCACAGTTTATTTTTAGTTGCCCCCTACCTCCAACATATATACATGGAAACTCTTTCCAAAAAAGATTTAAGGTATCATTTCATTACTTGCTCTTCACAACACTCTGCAATAAATTATTTTTTTCTTGTTCTTAGTTAGACAGACAGGCTGGGGCTGTTGAAGGCAAGGCCATATCTACCACAAATCAACAGCTAGGCAAATAGAAGATTCAAAGCTTCCTGTTTTGGACATAACATACGCAAGTATCTGCAGTCTAGAATGCTTTAGTACCAAAGGTTAACTGTGAGAACAAGGTAAAACTCAAGCCTAGGAGAGGGGAGTACTGGGCAGCAATCCTAGATCTGCCATAAACCCTTCATGTGGCTTTGGTCATGGTTCTTACCTGTCCATCTTCTACAATGAGTATGATGATACTGCCCATTTCTCAGCAATACTTAATTATTCATCCTTCAAGACCCAGCTGAGGCATTGCCTCCTGTACAAAGCCCAATTTCACCTCCCAGTATGAAGGCAAAGGTCCCCATCTCTGTATTTCTATGTCACTTTGGCATGCTTCTATCACATTTATACTTTAATTAATGCTGTAAGTCTACCCCAATGAGTATGCACTCTTCTACAACACCTTTATATTTTCAATGACTTGCTGTTTCTAGTATGTAGTGGTAACTCAAGAAATACTTGTTAAATGAAGGGAAAGGAAATAAGGTATGCAAGGGTAAATTGACAAAGAAATGCTAAATGTAATACAAGGAATGAAGAGTTCATTTTCCTCAAAATGCTCAACAAGCAAAAGCTAACTATACTGGGACAGGTAAATAAAGAACGAAGACAAGCTGATGTAGGAGAATGAGGGAAAGAAGGGATAGACCTTTTTTTGATGGTCTGATGGACCATCGGAATGATCCATATTTGTACCTAAACCCTCTCTAATCTCAAATGGGATTTCTCCTCTGAGGCTAAGTCGGAACTCAAGGGAGGCACAGGGCAAGCAGAATCATACACTTCTATTTCTGTTTGCCTGGTTCCATCACATTTTCTGGAAAAAGATCCAGAAGTACTTATCTGACTCTTAACTTTGGGAAACTCATCTTGTTTCCATCTGATGGCAATCCAGGTTCATATAGCAGTTCTTCCCTCTCCAGAGTTACCTTACCTGTGTGAGTCTACATTGCTGTGTTTCCTGAAAACGCTGGGATAAATATAATACCATCGCTTTTATATAGGGGTGTTAGGGGTTGTTATAGGGGTTATAGGTTGTTATAGGGCTGTTATATAGGGATGTTAGCAGTGCCTCACAGAAGGGCACATTTGGATGAAGGTGTGCTGGGGCTGCATCATCTTGGCCAGGAGAATCCTTCCTGGGCTTCTGACAATTGCCTCCTGGCCTCACTCTCCCAGCAATGTCTCTCATGACTCCCAACCCCTCTTCTGACCAGCAGTCCTCCGTCTGTATTCATTTCCAGTTCCTGACTCCAATTTGTTTATTTAACTACCTCCAAACCCTCACTGATGGTTTTGGGATTTTGCACCTTGGTCCTTCCTCTCTGGCCTGACCATTTCCAGCCATTGGCCTTGTCTTTGCCCTCCCATCCATCTGGGCCCCAGAGCTCTAGTCACACACTTTCTGGTCATTTCCCAGCCAGGCCTCTTGATTTGAGGCTTTCAATCATAGATACACAATTAACAAATGCCATTTCTCATTTCAATTTTGTTCACATAATTTAAAATTAAAATCAGAGAAAGTATTTTGATGTAGACTGTTTAAATATTGAAGGAAATCATTTTAATATCAGTAATATCACAAAAGCTGTCAAGAAAAAAGACAACCTAGCAAAAATATAGACAAGAATATAACTAAACAATTTTCAGAAAAATAAATTCACATAGGCAATAAGCGTAGAAAATGTTCAAACTCAACAATATTAAAGGAAATACAAACTCAAATAGTAATGATAACAACTTAAACCCATCAAACTGGATTTTTTAAAAAGGGAAATACATCTATTACTGGTATGGATAGAGGGAAAGTGTACTTTTATGTTTTGCTTGCAAAACTAAATTGTTACAAGTCTTTTGGAATGTAATCTGGCAAAATGTGTTGAAGTTTATTAAATGCATATAACCATCAACCCACTTATCCATCCCCGAGGGTTTAATCCAAAGAAACGTGTACCAAACATGTAAAGTTAAAAACATTTGACATGATTTGTACCGTAAACAAATAAAAGGGGGGAAAAGGCAATCAAGTCAATATCCATCCATGGAAGAATGGTGACAAAACTGTGTACATCCATGCCAGGGACTGTCTACACTTCTGAAGGCAATGAACTAAACTACCTTAGGTTGCTCGGCAGTAATTCCATAAAGCTGACTAAGGAAAGAGTGAATAATAAACAAACCCCTGGGTGTATCAGGGTGGAGATGTGAGACACAGAGGTATGGAGAAAAGTATGAAAAGATACACAATACACATGGTTGTGAACAAAAGTTAGAGGTGAAGAGTCAAAGGGGATGTGGAAAACAAGCAAAAAAGAAAAGAAAACTGAACTCTATGGAACCTCAGCATATATGCTATGATCTCATTTACTATATGCATGTATATGTAAGACAAAGAAGTCATATCTCTGTTTAGAAACCTACAGGGATACCCCTGATATATTAAGCAAAAGCAAAGGCAGCAAATTAATATTTATACTATGAATCTATTTTAGTAAAAGCAACTAAATCCCAGTATCTGTGCACCTAACCCTGAGCAAGGTACAAGGCATGGAAGCATCACACAAGGCTGTCATTAGTTATCTCAGGAGACTGATTGAGGGGTGGGGGTGAGAAAGATATGAAGGAGATAATCAATTCCTTCATGTATCTTATATTATTTCACATGTTATAACAACAAATCTATAACTTGAATGACACCAAATAAAGTAGAATGTTTCTATAACATTAATACATCCTTAACAGTCTAGAAATGCTATTCTTTATGGGAAAAAACTCTGAAGCAAAAGGAATTTCAAATATTTACCACTCGATTTCCATCTTCTTGGACAACTTGGATACGAAATTGTTCAATATCTTTTAAAAAAGAAAACAGAAAGACAGTTTAACCTTCATGAAAAATATGAGTACTTTTTTTCACCCAACAATTGTGAACTTTTTTTATATATAAAAGCAAAGCAGATTAAACAACTGGCTGAAAAATAGTACTATCACAGATGGCAATCTCACAAGAAAGATTCAAAACAAAAACCCACCTTTTCCCACCCTCTCTTTACAGTCTGTCTCAAGTCCAGCATTTACTCTGCTCCTCAATACCAACAACACATGAAACATTTAACTCTGCTACTCCCCTAGGTTAGCTGAACAAGGGTTTCCCTCCCCAGTACCATCAGTCTTATATAGGGCTAATAAGGACTCATTTGGCAGGGTTTATCTTTGATTTCCAAATACCAAACACCTCTTTATATGAAAACATCATATAGAAAACTCATTATGCCAGATATTAGGGGGAAGTATTTTTACAGGGGTCACTAACAGAACATGATGAACACTTTATTGATATATAGATGGACCGTTTCTTCTCAGTAAGCAGTTTACAATGAGCCATATGTATCTTTTACTGGTTCTAGTTACAAAAATGTGAGATACATAATTGGGCAAGAGTATAGGAAGTGAACACAAACTAAATCTTCAGTCTTGTCCCTCCAATTACAAATAAGCTGCTTCACCTCATAACAAGAGAGGCGGCTTCCTAGATAAGATCCACCAGTGAATTTTGTCCATCCCTCCTTCTACTTGAAATTATCATTAAAGGATGTCCCAATCTTATCTGCCTCTACCTGAATTTGACCAAGTCACTATGTATCCTCGAGTTCTGCCATGGATTTCTTCTAGCTTCCAATGCCATTCCCTCTGTCCATCCAAGCCTCTCTCCTTACATTATAGTTTCAACTGTGACAGACATCCTAAAGAAGGATGGACTAAAGAAGACAAAAATGACTGTTCTACAAACATTCTACCATGTGTCCAAATTGGATATCCAAATTTGCAGAAGCCCATCACATATGGAGACAGAGCCCAAGAGAACAAGTGAGGCAGAGAGAAAGCCCTTCCACAGGAGTCCTAGATCTCCAATGAACATCAAAGTCAGTGGACTCTTGGACTGGCGAGTGGACAGTTAGAAGCTTCATCACATCCTATGCTTCACTAGGAGATAAGCTGTTCATGAAGTCCCTACAAAAAACCTAAAGATATACTTACATTTCTCTTCTGAAAGCAGTAACAGATGATTCTCTGGTTGAGGGTGACTTTCAACATGTGGGTAGAGGAACTATAAACAGGAAATTAAAGTCATAAGCAACTACCTTGCTTACACAATTATTTCAAAAGTTATGTTCAATTACTGTACTACTACATACCATAGAAGGGAGTGGGAACCACAAAATAGTTTAGGCAAATCACATTCATACACACACACTATAGATGGAAGCAAGGAAGAAAAAGGAACACTTTCAGGAGCTTGGTTTTGCAGGAGGGGATTGATGGCAGGTCCAACACAATTCCTTTAAACAGTAAGGCTAAATTGTAAGCCATTCCTAGGGATGGTGCTTCCTATTTGGAATGTGGGATTCTGAAGTCAATCAAAGACATTATCAACAAACAACATTTGAACAGAAAGTTCCATTTCACAAGCACCAAAAAAAAAAAAAAAATCGATAACAATTTCTCATGCAGCTAAACCTAGTGTTTAATTTGAGAGCCAAGTAAACAAACTCTCCACGACAACTTCCAAAGTTCCACATCCGAGAGACAAAGCGCAACAAAACCAGGGACTTTCCGGGAAAGGACAGTGAGTCACAGTGTGGCATGTGGCGGAGGATTTACCTCAAGGCATCCAACGACTGCCACTGGGAGAAGAGGCCTGATCCAGCCCTTCCTGCTCCTCTGCGCCTGCCCTTATTTGTCAGCCCACAGGACAAAGCGGGCAGCCAGAAACACAGGGCCTGACCCCATCAACTGTGATAATGAGGGGAACCTGGCCATGGGATGACTCCAGTGACTTAATTCCTTCATCATCATAAGAGTAACTATACATCTGAAGTTTCACTTTGCAACATGAAAGACAGCTCACTAGATCCACTGGCAAATTTTGGGTTTTCCCTCCAAACTTGAAAGCATAATAAAAGAACAGAACTTTTCACATCCCTGTTTTACAGCCTACAACCTTTCTAAAGACTAGGGAAATTTTTGACAAAATATATTACATGGTATCCTAACTTTTCATAATGCCAAATTAGAATAGAACTTGTCAACTTTTAAAAAGATTTATCTTTTTTTTTTTTTCTTGGCTACACTGCAGCATACAGGATCTTAGTTACCCAACCAGGAACTGTAGCTGTGCCCCTTGCAGTGGAAGCTTGGCATTTTAACCACTGGACCACCAGGGAAGTCCCTAGAATTGGTTAACTTTTAAAATTGCTTGTAGTTATTTCCCTTTGAGAAAAACAAAGCATTAACTATATACCATTCTTCACAGCAGGGCTTCCCCAATGGCTGAGAGGAAAAGAATCTGCCTGCAATGCAGGAGACCCAGGTTTGATCCCTGGGTAGGGAAGATCTTCTGGAGGAGGAAATGGCAACTCACTCCAGTATTCTTGCTTGGGAATAAGCCCATGAGCAGTGGAGCCCGGCGGGCTACAGGCCATGGGGTACAAAGGGTCGGACACGACTGAGCAGCTGAGCACACACACACGCACACGCATTCTTCACAGCAACAAACCCCAAAATGTAAAATAGAGAGCAATGCAGAATTCCGCTATGAGAAGAATATAGAGCCTATTTCTGCTGATTTGTGAAACTGTGTACATCAAAAAGGATACTTTGTGCACTGGAGTTACGGAGAAGCAATGATGAGTGAAACCGCACAGACAATGGAAGAGCAATTACTCCATGCCTCAAAATAAGGAGAAACTACAGGTTTGGTGTCCCCTGGGTCTCCAGAGGTGACCAGGGCCCGCTGGCTTACGGCTGTGACCTAGACTAAGGTGAAGACCAGTTCTAAACCTTTGCCTGGTCTCTGTGAGGCAACCAGGATTTTAAAAGTTCCATTCAGGTGGTTGTTTTTCTTTCTGATTTGAGGCAACCCTGGAGTAAGGCCTACAGGTGAGAATATACGTAAGACAGGCTTCAGACACAGCTCTACAAAAGCATGCAACGATTTTGGAGATTTTGTTTTGTTTGCTTTGTGGGTAGGAATCTATATAGACTATATTAGGAAAATAATTTTTTTTAAAAATATCGAGCTAGATTGTGATCATTAATATTCACTGACAGAACGTACATACTATAGGCATGTGGACACGGATATGTGTGTAATTATCCAATAAACTATCTGGAAGGTGCATGCCGGTGGGGAACTCTACAACGGTCCCAGATTGAGATCCGGACTCCACTCACTACTGTCCTAAAGAAGTTTCTTCACGAAGCCTGCACAGGTAAAGGGAAAATGTACTAGTGGAAATCATCATGGATGTTTTGGAAAGAAAAAGGAAATAGATCACAGGGTAGGGCCAAGTTTTGTGGACAATGAATGGTGCTTCTCTAAAGGAGAGCAGAATGAAGAGAGGGTGAAGGTGGGGATTTGCCACGGGTGGAGACTTGGAGAAGTTTCTTTCTTCAGAGGCCTGAGCATGAAAGCAGGGAGCAGGGCTTGGACCTGGATGGACCAGGATGAGTGTGGGTCTACTTCACATGGGTAGGGGTGCAATCATGCACCTTGCATTTTTAATTTTTTCAATTAAGATAAAATGCACATAACAACATTCACTATTCACAGTTTTCACTATTAATAATATAATTCAGTATTTTTTAAATATATTCAGAGTGTTATGGAACTATATATTTGTAAAGCCTTTTTCCTTCCTACACTCTGATTACCCATCCTTCAGTAACATCATCATTGCCTACACAGCCCTGGATAAAAATGGTAAGGAAACCAAAAGAACATGCCAGAAAAGGGAAGTGTCCCACAGTCACCCCTGCACTGAGGACAGTGTAAATAAACAGAGTGGATTCCTGGGGGAGGGAATGTAGCTTAGCAGTTCCAGGCCAGGCCCTGCCTGGCAGCAAGCAGCGGCCCAGAGAGAAGCCAGGAGTAGTGGTGAAATGCACAACTGGAAGGGCTGGCTGACAGTGGACAACAAGGCACATGAGAGACAACCCGTTCTCCCAACACACACTGCCAGAGGGAGAGCCAAGGTCAGAGGCTGAGAGCAGGTAGGTAGGGGGAGGCTACACAAGGTAACTGTTCATGCAGCCCAGCAGGAACACGGGCAGTCGACTCTTGTTCTCAGTGATAGTTACAATCCACACGTGCCTGCATCAGTGCTTAATCATTTTCAATTCTTTTGTGAGTCCATGGACTGTAGTCCACTAGACTCCAATCATTTTCAATTCTTTTGTGACTCCATGGACTGTAGTCTGCTAGACTCCTCTGTCCATGAGATTCTCCAGGCAAGAATACTGGAGTGGGTAGCCATGCCCTTCTCCAGGTGATCTTCCCAACCCAGGGATCAAGCCTGACTCTCCTGTATCGCAGGCAGATTCTTTACTTTCTAAGCCACCATGGAAGCCCTAGGTTCCATGAGGTCACCACAAACACCGAACTCAGAACAACTGTTCCCAAGGGAAATAGTGATAAAAGCGCCTATGCGCCTCTAGCTACAACATTTTTGTCAACAAAATAGAAGAAAACTTGGTCTAATGTGTGCCCCTATTTAAAGACATTGTGGGACTTCCCTGGTGGTCCAGTGGCTATGACTCCGTGCTCCCATTGTAGGGGGACCAGGTTTGATCCCTGGTCAGGGAACCAGGTCCCATATGTCGCAACTAAGAGTGTGCACGCTAAAAAGATTCCGTATGCTGCATCAGTGATCAAAAGATCTGGTGTGCCACGACTAAAGATACTGTTGACTCGCTAGTAGTGAACTCAGTCAGCTGCCCTATAAACTAATTCCTAAATGAAGTTGATCTAATGAACACACAGATTTCCTCTGTAAAGTATATAGCAGTCTTTTTGCACTTAGAAACATGAAACGCTACTTCAGCAATACACTTGGAGGACACGGCAAGCATGAAATCAACTGCCAGAGAGTGTGAAAAACATGGCATTAAGTTGACTATGAAAACAATGTTTGTTTACAGTCTGAGACCTGAATCTGAAAGGCAGGGTCACCTTGTTCTACCTCAGCTGGGAACATGTACATTGGGTGACAAATTTTCACATGTCTACCAACGACTGATTTTGGGGTTGCATATGAATTTTAGTGGGTAGCAGAATTTGAAAATTCTATGTGTAAGTAATGAGGATTGACTATATCTAAGTCTGTTTGTGTTATATACACAGTGCTTCTGCATCAGTGCATGGAGTTGAGGAATTCAAGGATTAATTATGTCATTTAAACACAGGTATTTAACCTGTCAACTCTATGAAACGTTAGATAAGCCATTTTTAAAGTTCCTTTCAATGTGTTTTGATATTCAATATTTCATTATGTAAAAACATCTATTATATCAAACAACCATGATGTAATAGAGACAGAGAGCTAGGTTTGAATTTTGATTTCCATGTTTGCGAGGGAAGAGGTGTTCATTCCAGCCATACCCATTCACTGGATTATTCTGAGGATTAAATGTGATAATGTGTATGAAAACACTTTTAACACCACTGTCTCTAGGTTTCATGCCTTTTGATTAAAGAGATAAGTGATAAAGATATGCTCACTTACCTGTACCCAAATATAGCTATCCACTGCTTTTAGAACCTTCACATTGTTAATGGGGTGGATCTCAACCAACAGAGTTAAGCACTTTGATCCTATAAAGTAATGGATGCTTTTAATAGCAGCAGAGTCCATTACACATTACTCTTCCACATAGGCCTGAACTTTGAAAATGTAAAATTCATTACTTACTGTATTAGTTACTCCACAAACAAAAGCAGTTATCTTAACATTGAGACTTCTTAAAACCGCAAATAGACACAGAAAACATCATGAAGGAGAAGTCAGTGTACATGGAGTGAGAAACCAGTTCCCACCCATTTCTCAGCTATTTTTACCATCACTTCAGGGGCCCTCTCAGCTTTTAAGTCTAAACAAATACATCTCAGTTCAGTGTCACTACAATTCTGCAGCACAATGGCAAATACTGTTTGTGTGGGAAAACATAAAGATTTCTGATGAATGAATGTGTTAGGGTTGACAGCAACTAGGGCAGGGACTGGGCTTCCCTCAGGAAGGGTGGAGCTGCATGGATAAAGACTCACTTATTTCCTTAGTGTCACATCTGAGCAAATGTCATTAAAGATAGTCATTAGGAGGAAGTTTTGGACACAGGCTAGAATGGGGTTACCACAGATATTCAAATTTAGACCAAGAGTTTCCCTCCTCAGAAAAGGAGTTGCCTTATATTTGAGTTCTTATAACAGCTCTAATATTCTCATGTGCTTTCTCAATGACTTTATTTTGAGTAATAATTTACAATTTGGGGATGGCACAGCAGCCTGGAATTGAATCAATGCCAGTTTTCACTATTTAAGAAAGCAACCTAACAGTATTGCCTTATGTCAAGAAAAAAAAAATGTAAAGAATATAAAATATTTTCTGGGATATTGCCTCACATTTTAAAGAACTGGATATTTCTATAAAAATACCTTTTAGAGTTTACTGAAAGCAAAACAGTGAGTGAGTTATTACGTGGGATCACAAATACACAACAAGAATAAAAATCAAAAGCAAATGTTTGGTCAATGGGTACTCAAAATAAAAATTTCAGTGACAGGTCATTCACAATTCAAAAGGGCTATATACTTCTAATAACTGAAACAAGATAAAGTGAGATGCTTTGGGAGTCTGCTTGATGACTCAAAAAGTGGCTCTAAGAATAAGAAATATTGATGTCAAAGATACTTGTGAAGAAAAATAGACTGAAATGTGGGAATGACCAAAAAAAAAAGCAATTTTCCTTATTGTCTTAAGTATATATAACTAATTTAATACAGTAAATAGTACAAGTTGATATTTGACTATTTCATCTCCTGCCCAAAAAGTTTATATATTCCAACTAGGGGAAAAAACTTTTTAGGGGGCAGGTGGGGGAATCTTCTCATTGGAAAAATAACAAATTACCTATATTCAGCTTTTTTGTCAATGAATCTGTTCCCAGGTGAGATTATCAGCTAAATTCACTTACCTTTAAAATGGGAGGCTTATCAAGGGCAGGGCAGAATTCATCTTCCTACACTAATTTTTCATTTCTTTAGGGCAGCCCAGATACTTAATATAAGTAGCTTAATGAAAAGAGTAATTGGGCAGACAGAAATGTCTCTCAATAACATACCATGTGCTTTCATAGTGTAACAGGAAGCACTCTAGAATAGGATTCTAGAGATATCAATTCTAGTTTAAAATCTGTCACTAACCTGGTATTTATACTTAAATAAATCACGAAGATTTCCTAGGCCTTCGTGCTCTGTTTTTAGTTTATTTTTGCTTTTTTTTTTTTTTGACCACACTGAGTGCAGCTTGCAGTATCTTAGTTTCCCAATCAGGGAATGAACCTGGGCCCCAGCAATGAAAGAGCCAAGTCCTAACCACTGGACTGCCAGGGAATTACCAGTGTTTTGTTATTTAAAAAATAAAGAACTACAGAATCAGACCATTTCTACAATTACTTTCAGCCCTAAAATCCACAGTGACTCCATGAAGTGCTTAAAGTTGTCTTAAGAATTCAGAGAATCCAGGTATCAACGGAGCCTGGGAGTACATCACTGAAAGGCAAGACACCCCGGCAGGACACCGATGCTGCGGGGAGTAGAGCAGCCGGACCAAAAGGGACAGCATGAGGGGCCTCAAGGCATTACGCTAAGTGAAGTAAGTCACATTGAGAACGAAATAATGCCATTTGCAGCAACATGGATGGACCTAAGGAAGTTAAGTCAGCGAAAGACAAATATCAAGATATCATTTATATGTGGAATCTAAAAAAAAAGAAATTATACCAATGAACTTATTTACATAACAGAAACAGACTCACAGACATAGGAAACAAACTTTGCCAAAGGGTTAGGGAAGGATAAATTAGGAGTTGGCATTAACAGATACACACTACTATATATAAAACAGATAACAAGTTTTTAGTGTTGAGCATAGGGAACTATATTCAATACCTTGTAATAACCCATAATAGAAAAGAATCTGAAAAAAAAATACATATGTGCGTAACTGAATCACTTTTCTGTACACCAGAAACTAACACAATATACAAATCAACTAAAATAAAAGACAAAAATCATATGATCTCTTTTATATGTGGAATCTAAAAACCAAATCAAACCAACCCCCAAACCAGGTTTATAGATACAGAGAACAGATTGGTGGTTGCAGGAGGCAGGGGGTAGGAGGTGAGGGGAGAAATGAGTGAATATTTTTGCTTTGTTTAAATTGAATTTAAATTAGAAAAAAAAAAAAAGCACAAGGATAGGCATGGCACAGGGAGGGTGAAGAGTGAGAAAAAGAAAGAACCTGGTCTGATGCAGGTAAAGGTACATATTATGAAATAGTGAAAAGGTTGGAAGAGTTCAGTCAAGTCTAGTTGTTTGGAAGCTCTGGTTATTAGAACTTCTGAATCAAAGCAGCTCCATGGAGCATCTGCAGCACTTACTGACTACAAAGGCTCCTGGGGTCCTGGAGCAGCAATGGGGCCCAAGACGCTGCCCACAGGGACCTGCTATGCCTTAGGGAAAATATAATACCTCCAGGAAGGGTGAAAGGGGCAGCCGTGCCTGGCTTCCTATGGAAGACCATTTCCTGAATAAAACAAGTTTGCATGGCCTCGGCCAAGAAGAGATGCACTGCTGACAAAAATTTTGTCGTAAAGTTTGTAGACCAAGGAACCCTATCTTGCTTATATGAGATACATTATAGTCTGTCTCATTTGCAATGGAAGAACCTCATGATAAGCAACACAGTGTTAACACCTTGAGGCAAACTACATTTTATAATCAACTGGCTTATCAAGTTATTCACAAACAAAAAATTAGCCTTCAGCAAAAGGCAAAATATTTGCATAATATTTGTTCAAAGGACTAACCATTAAAACAGATCCTATAGTACTTTCTGGTCACATAATTTCTGAAATTGTAGCTGAACAAAAGACCTCCAAAGAGCTCCCATGATCTGTCTGCAACTCACGTTCATTTCCTGCTGGCCTTATTTCCCACCACTCTGCCCTTGTTCACTCCAGTCCAGCCTCACTGACCTCACTATCCTGGAACAGCCAGAGTCTACCAAGCACTCCAGCCTCCCGGCCCTCATGCTGGCTGTTCCTTCTGCCAGAAATGTGCTTCCCCTTGCTGCTGCTGCTCAATTGCTTCAGCGGTGTCCGACTCTGTGTGACCCTATGGACTGCAACCTGCCAGGCTCCTCTGTCCATGGGATTCTCTAGGCAAGAGGAGCTTGCCATACCCTCCTCCAGGGGATCTTCCTGACCCAGGGATCAAACCAGGGTCTCTTGCATTGCACAGACGCATGCTTGCTGCCCCTCTCCTTTCAGGTCTCTGTTTAAAAACTCCTTTAATGAAGTTTCCTAGGATCATCCCTCAAACTATCTGGGCTCAATACTAACCTCTTCCCGACCTTTGGGACCAGCTTCTTTCTGCCTGTAGCACCTGTTTAGTCTGCAGGTGATAATTGCCTTTTTTAATATTTCTGTTATTCACTGTCATATTATTTTCTGTACGTTCTTGTTTACTTGGAAAAAATGCAAAGAACATGCCTGACATGACCTTTGCCTTTTTATTCTGAGATAAACCTATTTGCAAATATGCTTGCAGTTTGACTTAGTAGTTCAATAAATCTTCATCTATCAACAAGTACTAAAAACTGTAATGTCATTACCTGGTTGAAGCTCATTACTCTTTCCTTCTTTAGCAGCTTGAACTAAACTTGTAGCTAATGGAAAAAGAAAAAAAAAATCCATTAGCAAATGATCTATGCAGTGGCTTGTTAAAGTTTACCAGAGAATACCCAGAATAAGGGAGGGCTCAAAGGATCTGTCGGTGGATAATTAAAGTAAAATACAAAGCACTCTTTATTGTAGGTAGACTCTACAGATTCTTTATTTCAAATCTTATCTCGAAAGTACATCTTTTCCCAGAATAATCAACTATTGTAAAAATTCAATATTTTGAAACTCAAAAAATATAGCTTAGTTCTCGACTTGTAGCAATGAAAGAGTTCAACTTACCCAGCAAAGTTTTCTCCCTGTTGACTGAGCAACTGACAACTTGCAAATCTTTCTCAAATGTATAGAGATGCTATTAAAAGAGAAGTATTTTTTAATTTGGAGTTTCATGTTAAACAACAATTTTATGAATGCAAATCCCCACTCAGCTTTTTAGCAAGTATCACTGTGGAAAACATTTTATTAGACCACCAATGAACCAGTTTATCTATACTAAGAAGTTTCAGATTATTTTTTAAGAAAAAAGTTTGCTATTGGAGGCCATGTTTGGCACTGAACTTTAACCATGAGACAACACAGGGTAGTGGCTAAAATCACAGACCTTGAGGTCAAGCTGGACCCAGGCTCAAACCCTAATTCTGTCACTTGCCAGCTGTGACTTTGGATGAGTTACTCAACCATTCTATCCTCCCATCAGCAAAACAGGAATCATGTTACTACCTATCTTGGGAGATCCTTAGAAGTGCTAAGTTAAATAATCCATGTGAGAATACTTACTACAATGTCTGCTACACGTAATAAGCACTCAAGGGTGAGCAATTAGGATTATGAAGGCAAGTTAACATTTTAATCAAATTATATAACTATGACATCATTAACTATGTCTAAGAGACTGTCACAAGTGCATCTCCTAAAGGATGCCCATTTTTAGAATACTGGCAAAGTAATCTGCTATTTTTATTTAACCTGTATTTTATTTTCTTGCTGTTTAAATGTTGCAAGATTCTATTTCCTGGAATATCAAAGAAAATTAAGACGGTCATGTAGAAGGAGGATGTGAGGTGCAGACTGAGGAAATGGAGACAATCACAGTTATATTAAGCAAACTCTCTTAAAACATATTCAGGGTATAAGGAAAGACAGAATGTTAGACTTCAGGAGAGAACAAGTTAAGAGAAACAGTGACGAGTAGAACTATTAAGAAGGTAAATAGTATTTGCAGACTAAAAAAGCACTGAGAACATACTAGAATGCAATGGCCAAAAGTTGATAAAAAATGTCGAGAAGTCAAGAAAAGTAAACTTTGAGTTAATAAGAAGGCTCTGAATTCATGTGACAAATTATGGTTTCCTCTATTCTTGCTCTGAGGGATCCTTATTTATAAGTAAGAAGAGGCATGAATGTATATACTTAATTGTAACTGCTTCTTCCTTTTTAATTATATAATAACACACAAAGTCTAATAAGTGTTTAAAACATGCAAACACTACCAAATAAAAAGTCTAAGTTCTCCATTATATTCACCCTATCCCAACCCCTTTTGAAAAAGAAACATTTTGTAATTTATTCTGTAGTCTTTTGGATCATTCAAAATGAGTTTTTTTAATATATTTACACACATACATATTATGTCATTTTCTTGCAAGTTTTTTTAAAACATAAATGGAATGCGTTATTCTAGCAACTTGCTTTTTCATGTAATAATGTGTTTTGGAATGACTCTGTGACAATGTACATTTATAGACTTCTCAGTCTCTTGATACTTACAAATTATTTTTATATAGACACAAAGGGACCCCCTCCCATTTGCCTCAAGACTTAGACAAGGCTGTCACATTAACCAATGTCTTATGTGAGTTGTCTGGGGAAAGATTAAGAAAAAGAGGCTGGTTCTATAACTGGATCTTTGAGAAGTAACGAGAAGAAGATCAGTGAAGTTCTGTAGAAGCAGAACTCAGAGTCAGAGGTCATTCTGACATCCTAAGCTTCTGGGAAACACACATCGTAGGGAGGCCACTGGACTTCCTACATTCCTACAGAATATTGGATAATTGGTCTGAGCCTATTCAGCTTAAATCTCAAAGGACTAAAAGACTACAGTTGACATTTGGTGCAGGAGTCCTCACACTTTTTTTTCTTTAAGATAGTATAAAAGGAAAAGAGAAGGAAGACAAAGAAATATAAAATAAATTTGTATCTTAAAAAAAGGGAAACTAAAAGCAGTAGAGTAACTGTTAACTAATGTATAATTTATGGTGATTTTTACCTCATTTTGTTTGGTTTGGTAATCATACAATCCAAAGAAGACATTTCCCTTATCGTCCTGAAAGGAAAAAATTAATTAGATGTTTATTAAAGGTCATTGTTTAGGAATTTACTAGTTTTAAAAGAAATCTGCAATAATTCAAACATATGAGCAATAAGCACTCTAAAGGTAGCCTGCTGTGCATGTCAGAGGACTGAACACGATTCGGATGGCAGCACAGGTCAAGAGGTGAAAGGGACCGAGAACATACAGCTCAGGGAGTCTGAGGGAGCCTGTCTATAGGACACAGCAGAGTGAAGGAGCAAATCTTTTTATACTTTCATTTATTTCTGTCAAAGAATATGAACGATGGATACTGAAAGTAGGTAGAATAAGTCCATGATAGTCTTATTAGTAAAACTTCTTGGCAAATAGATGGCGAAACAATGGAAGCAGTGACAGACTTGATTTTCTTGGGCTCCAAAATCACTGTGGATGGTGACTGCAGCGATGAAATAAAAGGATGCTTGCTCCTTGGAAGAAAAGCTATAACAAGTTTAGACAGTGTATTAAAAAGCAGAGACGTTACTTTGCTGACAAAGGTTCATAGAGTCAAAGCTATGGTTTTTCCCGTTGTCATGTACAGATGTGAGAGCTGGACAATAAAAAAGGCTGAGCACCAAAGAACTGATGCCTTCAAACTGTGGTGTTGGAGAAGACTCTAGAGAGTCCCTTGGACTGAAAGGAGATCAAACCAGTCAATCCTGAAAGAAATCAACCCTGAATATTCATTGGAAGGACTGATGTTGAAGCTGAAGCTCCAATACTTTGGCCACCTGATGAGAAGAACTGACTTATTAGAAAAGACCCTGATGCTGGGAAAGACTGAAGGCAAGAAGAGAAGGGGATGGCAGAGGATGAGATGGTTGGATGGCATCATCGACTCAATGGACATGAGTTTGAGCAAGCTCCAGGAGATGGTAAAAGACAGGGAAGCTTGGCAAAGAGTCAGACACGACTAAACGACTGAACAACCACCAAAAACTTTGTGAATCATAGAATTCCTTGAATGTAGCATCCTCATGGATACAACTTAAAATAACCTTTTTAAAGCAAAAACAGTAATACAACTTGCAAAGCAAACTGGCCACTGCAATTATTCTTTAATGTTTCACTATTACAGTAACGTTATCCACGAAGTTAAATTTTCTTTCCTTAGAACAGTTAACATTGAAAACACACTGTTAAATAATAATGCCTCAAAACTCTGAGTATACCAAAATCCGAACAGATGACGTACAGTAATAATATTTAATGTTTTCTCAAAGATAAAAACTTAACATATTGATTAAGTTTAAATATCTCTTATTTGGCATTTTTCCTCTAGAGGATGAAACTGTTCATTTATTCAAAACCTTTGAGCACTGTATCAGACATTGGGTATAGTTTTATTTTATTTAAAAAAAGGAAAAATATTACATAAGACTGAATTTCAATTACCCTATTCAATCTCACAAAATTTTAAAAAGTCATATGTTAAAGATTAAATGCCAACAAGTCTTATTCACTACACCTTAAAAAGATAAAGCATAAAACTCTGTTGAAAAAATGAATATAAATGGTTAAAGAGTAAATGTTATGTTAAGTATGTGTATGTGTGCTTAGCTGCTCTATGTTCAATGCTTCGTGATCCCATGAATGCTTTGCTCCTTTATCCATGGGGATTCTCCAGGCAGGAATACTGGAGTGGATTGCCATGCCCTCCTCATGTTATGTATATTCTACCACAATTTAAAAATTAATATAGACTTACCTTACAGGTATAAATAATATTTCTGTTTCTTTCAACATTTAGTACACGTAAGCACTCATAATTGTTTTCTAAAACACCTAAAACAGAAATAATCACAAGTTAACATCTAGAAGGAGATGTTTAGAAACATATCTAACAAAAACATATCTGCATTAGAGTTTAAAAGCCAAATACAAAAGAACACTGATAATTCCATTATATAGAGCTTAAAAACAGGCAAAGCTAATCTATTTTATGGAGATCAGATTAGTAATGATCTCTAAGGAAGAGGAAAGTGGTGATTAGCAAGTATCTCACGGAAGGAAATCTTGCTAATGGAAGTGTACATTGGACAAAACTAGCAGAATCTACTAAAGCTGTATATATATGGCTCAACAATTGTCTGTGTACTTATATCTCATCAGAAGTATATACATTGTTTGGCAAATGACACATATGACATATACAGCACTATGATTCATAATAGCCAAAACTGGAAATGCAAAATATTCATCAAGCAAAGAACTAATAAATCATGATATATTCAAACAACGGAATGTTATATAATAATAAGAATTAATTAACTTGCTCTAACATACATACATACATAAATAATTGAGTAAAGGAAACTTATATTTTCACTCCTCCCCAAAAAGGCACAAACTGTATGATTTAATTTATACACAAGTTTCAAAAACTGTCAAAAACAATCTATGGTGCTAGATGAATGACAGCTGAAAAGAAGTTCGAAGGGGATCTTTGGGGTTCTATTAATGTTCTCCTTCCTGCTCTGAGTGCTGGTTCCATGCAGGTGCCTCACTTTGTGAAAATTAACTGAGCTGTGCACTGTGATCTGTATACTTTTCTGTATGAAGGCCATCTTCAAAAACAGATATAAAGATTGTTTACGCAAAACATTTAATTTGTAAGTTAACTGATCATCACCTTTCTTCTAAAATTTTAGGATATTCCTCTGAATTCTACAGTTAAAGGATTTAAACACTGGTTAGAAACATCATCGATAATTATCATCATTAATCAGAGAGAAATACATATTTCCCCAATTTCCTCTAAATAAATTGCTTAAACTTGACTCATCTTCCCCACACAAGAATAGTGTTTTTAGATCTTAAAATATCATATTGATTATCACAAATACCAATATTCAGGAAAAAAATATGCAAAATACCCTATAAATCAGAGCAAATTTCAGCCTGTATTCCTGATTAAAAAGGAAAAATCAAGATACAAAATCAGGATAATTGGTGAGCTCAATCCCTGCAACTGGAGCTGGCAGTGGAAAACATTTAGAGAGGCAAAGAGCGGGTTCACTGAGAATCCAGGAATCATCCTGTGCTCTCTCTTCCCAACTCTTCAAAGAAAGAAACTGCATGGATTTTCTGCAGACACGGCAAAGGGAGGGGCAAGTGTTGCTTATATATGTGTACATACAACTTTCAATGTCTAGTGAGGTATCAGAAACACTTCTCAATGATTAAAAAAATAATCACTTGGTCTTTTAGAATAGTAGTATGATTCAGTTAGCTTACTGCTGAATAGCAAAGAAAAGGTAAACAGAATGAACTGTTTCCTCTATCATACTTACAATAGGAAAATGGGTAATTACTGAAAAATCCTTTAAGGTAGATTTTGCAGACATCTAAAGAGAACTTCTGTGAGTTATTTTTCATCCTGCATATGACTCAAAACTCCTGGAATGGAATGTGTCAATATTTTGCAAAGTATTTTTTTTTCTTTCCAGATTATAAGGATGCTGGGACTTTCTTAAAAGTACACTTAAAAGGTTTTAACTAAGATAAGAAACTGCTTTATAAGAATCTTGCTAAGAAAATCCAATTTCCTTGCAAAAGCACACCTATTTTTAAATCACTATAATAAAGAGGAAAAAAGTCTTCAATAAGTGCAGATTACAACAATTGATATATGCTTATTCCATTAAATCAGTGGTTCTCAAGGCTGGTTGTGTTAGAATCATCAGGGGAAATTTTAAAAGAACATGGATGCCCAAATCCTGCCCCCAAATATTCAGATTTTTTTTGAGCTGGTGAAGGTTCGACTCTCTCCTGTATGTGTTTTTAAGTTCACTTTGTTATTCTAATGGGCAGCCAGAACTGAGAACCACTGAACTACATATATACAATATACATTAAATGATACTTATTAGCACAATTATAACCAGCTTATAATGTAATCATGATATACAGATTTGAAGGAAATAATAAAAATTATGCCTTCATGGGTCTGTTAGGGAGCAGTGATTGCAGTTTTAAATAATCCTGCAGTTAAGCACATGGTTCTCATCTCTAGGACATTTGCATTAGATAAATTTGGCAATACTGGAAATCCAGAGACTGGCATCTCACCACCACTATAAACCGGCAAGCCCTTCCTCTTCAGATTAGCTGCTCATGTTTTAGACACACCCTTTTAAAGACTTATTCAATAACCTCTTTGCTTATTCATTCTGACTATTCTCCCACAGTTCATCATTGGAAAGTCCAGAGGAGGAAGTTTAGCAATTTCAAATGAGGAAATGTGGTTTAATTTTACAGTTTAGTTAAATCAGAGTTCATGAAGAAAAAATGAAGCATTTTGATAGATACTTGCATAAAAGTAAATCTATTATAAAAAAAATAAATAGATACTGAAGGTGTTGGCAAAGTCACAGCTCATGTGAAATTTAAGCTGGTTTGCCACATAGTCTCATCCAGCTCAATGTATTCTTTGCTAAACACCAGTGATTTCACTTTAAAAGAAGATGTTTACCAAGTATGCAGATTTGGTTTCCAATTGCTGTGAAATAAGATAAATCTCATATAAACGTATTTCTTTTCTTTCCAATGACTATGGGAGCATGGGAAGTCTCACAGCCTTATACAAAAACTTGAACCAGTTTCTAAAACACAGATCAAGGATTGTTAAAATATGATTATACCTATGACATTTCTATTCTGTGAGTAATTCACATAAATCCTCCTGCTCAACATGTCTAGATGCTATAATTCCTAAACTTATGAAGTAAACATCATTATGTGACTTATATTTCATGTTCTGGATAAAATGAGGAAAATCAAGGGGGGGTGATGAAGCCATAAAGAGAGAAGACAGTCAGAAAAGAAGACTAGGAGAGCAGGGGAAGGAACAGTGAGCAGGAAGGACAGTCCAAGAGACTGAAACGATGAACAACACTCATGTGACAAAGCCAGCCTCTGGCCCCCAGATCCGTCTGGGGGTACCTAGGAGGCAACAACAAAAGCTCTACCTGTGAGACAGTCACTTGGTACATCACTTCCCCAGAAAAGATGAATAATTACAATATTAGAAAGAATAATCAGCCTGGAATATTACTAAATTCTAACAAATTCACAAATCTAGTATGATTTGAAGTGGACAAGGAGACACAGGAATGGAAACCCACATTCTTCCTGGTCTTAAGTATATCTGCCATTGAGACCTCAGAAAATTCACATACCACAGACTTTTTCTTAAGTTTCCTTAGGATCTGATACATCCCAAGAGGAGATTAAGCATTAGACACAAAAACTAATATATAAAATCTATTATATTGCTACATACCAGTAATAGTACATATAATGTTTTTAAATGTGCCATTTTTGAGAGCAACAAAAACAAACAATAGCCCAGGAGTAAATCGAGCAAATCTTCATGGAGAAAATTTTAAGACTTGTTAAGAGTCATAAAAAGACTCTAAATAAATAGCAGGCTATATACTTTGTTCACAGTTGGGACGATTTAATATTGTAAAGATGCAACTTCTCCCCTAGCTGATTTATAGATTCAATGTAACTCAAATAAAAAATCCAATAGACTTTTTGGTGAAATCTGACAGGCTGATTCCAAAATCTATATGTAAGAACAAGGAGCATAAAATAGCCAAGAGGATCCCAACAGTGACTGAGGTGAGGAGACTTACTCTACCAGTTACCAAGACTTAACAGAAAGATAGTTATTAAGATGTCTTCACCTTATATAGACCAACGGAACAAAACTTAAAACCCAGAAAAGAAGACTCAAACACATACGGAAACATGATGTGTAAAGGAAGTGGTTTTGCTGTCAATGAGAAAAGGTAGGGCTATCTGGTTAGTGACTGTGGAACTACTAGCTATTAACATAGAAAAACAATGCAGTTTACAAAAGAATATTTTAACACATGTAAGCCAAAAAAAGGCAGAGGAACCCGAGATCAAATTGCCAACATCCGCTGCATCACTGAAAAAGCAAGAGAGTTCCAGAAAAACATCTATTTCTGCTTTATTGACTATGCTAAAGCCTTTGACTGTGTGGATCACAATAAACTGTGGAAAATTCTGAAAGGGATAGGAATACCAGACCACCTGACCCACCTCTTGAGAAACCTACATGCAGGTCAGGAAGCAACAGTTAAAACTAGACATGGAACAACAGACTGGTTCCAAATAGGAAAAGGAGTATGTCAAGGCTGTATATTGTCACCCTGCTTACTTAACTTATATGCAGAGTACATCGAGAAACGCTGGGCTGGAAGAAGCACAAGCTGGAATCAAGATTGCCGGGAGAAATATCAATAACCTCAGATATGCAGATGACACCACCCTTATGGCAGAAAGTGAAGAGGAACTAAAAAGCCTCTTGATGAAAGTGAAAGAGGACAGTGAAAAAGTTGGCTTAAAGCTCAAAATTCAGAAAACTAAGATCATGGCATCTGGTCCCATCACTTCATGGGAAATAGATGGGGAAACAGTGGAAAGACTGTCAGACCTTATTTTTTTGGGCTCCAAAATCACTGCAGATGGTGATTGCAGCCATGAAATTAAAAGACGCTTACTCCTTGGAAGGAAAGTTATGACCAACCTAGACAGCATATTAAAAAGCAGAGACATTACTCTGCCAATAAAGGTCGGTCTAGTCAAGGCTATGGTTTTTCCAGTGGTCATGTATGGATGTGAGAGTTGGACTAGAAAGAAAGCTGAGCACCAAAGAATTGATGCTTTTGAACTGTGGTGTTGAGAAGACTCTTGAGAGTCCCTTGGACTTCAAGGAGATCCAACCAGTCCCTCCTAAAGGAGATCAGTCCTGGGTATTCATTGGAAAGGCTGATGCTGAAGCTGAAACTCCAATACTTTCGCCACTTTATGTGAAGAGTTGACTCACTGGAAAAGACCCTGATGCTGGGAGGGGTTGGGGGCAGGAGGAAAAGGGGACGACAGAGGATGAGATGGCTGGATGGTATCACCGACTCAATGGACATGAGTTTGAGTAAACTCTGGGAGTTGGTGATAGGCAGGGAGGTCTGGCATGCTGCGATTCATGGGGTCGCAAAGAGTCTGACGCGATTGAGCGACTGAACTGAACTGAAGCTATAGATATCAACAAAATAAAACCATGTAACGACCACCCAGCTTAAAAGTAACAGATATCAAGACTACTTCTAAAGGTTCCAGTGTTCCCCTATCTGATTTCTATATCGCATTACACACAGAAATACATTCCAGATGAATTTAAAAAATAACAAAATTCAAAATGAAAAGCTTTAAAGCTTTTAGAAGTTAATATAAAAATGTCTTCATGGCTTCTAAGTTTCTTTAAAATATCCCAAAAGCACAAACCATATAGTAAAAACACTCACAAATTAGACTACATTATAATCAAGGACTCTTATTTATCAAAGGTAACTACAAATTGAAAAAAACAATAGATACTTGCAACATATATGATTAACAAAGGACTAGAATCCAGAATGAAGAATGCCTTAAAATCAATATGCAAAAAAAACCACAACAGAAAAATAGACAAAAGGATGAACACCCTATAGAAGAAGAAACACAAATAGCCAGTTAAGTATATAGAGATGTTCAACCTCAGATCATAAAGAAGTATTATTTAGACCCACCAGTCTGACAAGAAATTAAACACTTGGAAAAATCAAGAGCTTGTAAAGATATAGAGTACCAAAAATATTTTGATAACACAAATGATACAAGTATTTTGGATAGCAATTTGGTACTGCCCAGGAGGTAACCCAGTGGATAAAAAATGTGCCTTCAATGTCTTAGATGCAGGAGACACAGGTTCTATCTCTGGGTCAGAAAGATCCCATAGAAAAGGGCATGGCAACCCACTTCAGCATTCTTGCCTGGAGAACCCATGGACAGAGGAGCCTGACAGGCTACAGTCCATAGGGCACAGAGTCTGACACAACTGCAGCAGTTGAGCATGCAGGAAAAGTGAAGCTGTGCATAGCCTGTGACTCAACAACCTCAATGTCAGACATCTATCCTAGAGGAACTTGCACCAGGTGACATGCACAAGGTTAGTAAAAGCATTGACTATAACAGCAAACCCAGAAACTTCCCAAAGGTCACCATCAGGAAAAGGATAAGTAAGCTGGGTTCCCTAGGGAACACCTGAGACACTTTAGTACACAGGATATTTACTAGATTGTGCTTATTAAAGTAGGATTAATGTCTGTAACAGGAAGGAGAAGAAAGCAGGACCGGGGCGGGGGGAAGAAGTCAAGCTGTAATAAAGGTCCAGTGGCCTCAGGTGACGTTCCATCAAGGAAGCTCTAGAATTGAAATGAATCGCCACAGTTGTCCCATGTGAGTAAAAATGCCCAGGCTTTTATATCCTACCTGAACCCCTTATTAGAGGAGGGCATACCTAAAGGGGCATAAACTTTGGTGATACAGCCCTCTGCCGAGGCCATCCCTGAAGATGCTGGCAGCTGAGGGCTCTGATACCACATTCACAGCACCTAGGACAAGCCCTTCCTTGAAACAAAGATCTAAGCATTGCATCTCCATGTTTACCATATTGTATAGTCACACAAATGGAATACTATACAGCAGTGAAAAATAATGCCCTATGACAGTCAACATGGTGCTAGTGGTAAAGAACCCGCTTGCCAATGCACAAGATATAAGAGATCCAGTTTCGATCACTGGGTTGGGAAGATCCCCTGGAGGAGGGCATGGCAAGCCACTCTAGTATTCTTGCCTGGAGAATCCCATAGACAGAGGAGCCTGGCAGGCTATAGTCCATGGTATCGCAAAGAGTCAAACATGACTGAAGCAATTCATCACACATCACACACCAGTCAACATGGATAAATCTTACAATACTGAGAAGGAAAAAAAGCAGAATTCATATGATATTCTTTCATTTAAAGTTCACAAACAAGAAAATGAAATGATATTTGGCTTAGGGAGATACAGGTTAAAACTACAAATAAGATTGAAGGAATGTGAAAATATAAAAGTTTAAATGGCTGTAGGCAACAACATATAGATGGGAACTATAAAGAGAAATAGGATCAAATAGGGAGACCCAAGAACCAACAAAAGTCTTGCTACTGCCCTACTTTTAAGATAGGTACATGGTTTTGCTTTTATATTATTTATAGCTTACATCTGTTAAAATATTCTTTTGTATAACTGTTTTAATTTTTTTAAAGAACAAATATTTTCTTCATTTATTTCAGGAGAAATAATTTCCCCAAAGTTCAACCCAGAACCAGGAACAGAGGCAGTAACCAAATCTGGTCTCCTTATTTCTTAACTCCTTATTGACTAAAACGCTATCCCACTGAATTTCTGCCTGGCTAACTTGGCCTAGCTCTCTGGCTATTTTGCCAGAAATATGTCATACATCAGGAGTACTACTTAGCACCACTAAGAAATCTTCAGCTGTATTTATTGATGTAAAAACATTAAGGCTTCAAATTTAGATAGCAAGTGTGCAGAGAGGAGACTTTACAATGGTATAATTATTCATAATTTACATTTGAAAAGCCGAGACTTTGAAAGGAAAATAATTTGCACAAATGTGTGGAGTCAGAGCTATGCTAGAGATAAAATAGAATTCCAGATTCCTCTGCCAGTGCTACAAATTACAGCAGAAGAAGAATTAACTTGTGGGGGCTTTTAAACTGCCACCACTAGTGATTATCAGAAGTAACAATGTCTTTTAGTATAACAGGGCTAATATTTCTGCCAAGCTGCTCTGTAGGAGCAAAATACTACCAATATGAGAAAAGGCTGGTATTTCTAGTAAGTTTACTTTCTGAGGACCCAAGGGTATCTGCTGTTTGGTGGAATGTCAATGCACAAGTCTATGTGTCTTCACAGATGAATTAAAGACACAGGAAGCCAAAACCTAACAGGCTCACACACAGCTTTTCAATCACAACACACTACTGAAACATAAGACTGTGGCATTTCACACTTCATCTAACTTCTCATTCTTGAGCACCTGCCACTTAGCTATATAAGGAGATGGTCCAGAGAAAAGGGGCTTCCCAGGTGACATGGTGGTAAAGAATCTGCCTGCCAACACAGGAGACTCAAGAGACACAGGTTCGACCCCTGGGTTGGGAAGATCCCTTGGAGTAGGAAATGGCAACCAGCTCCATATTCTTGCCTGAAAAATTCCATGGATAGAGGAGCCTGGCAGGCTATAGTTCACCAGGTCACAAAGAGTTGGACATGACTGAGTACCCAGGCCAAAGAAAGGACCACTTTGTGTTGAAAAAACCTTCAGAAACTCTTTAGACATCCAGGAGACTTTTTAAAATGCAGCACCACCACCCTCACCCCACCAAAGTGAGCCTTTACTAATAATGACACTAGTCATTAGTCAAACTCACTAGTCAAACTTGAGTCTTGAGCTAGACAAAGATGACTCTGTATTTGGAACCAAGAGAGCCAACATGCCAAAACAAGGAACACTACAAATATTCTGCTAAAACCACACAACAGAAAACTTTGTCCAGTGATGAGAGTAAAGGGAGTTGTAGACACTGGTAATTTGATAGCCGTTTCCCAAAAATGCCTTCCAGCAGTCTACAGTGCTTAAGGAAACCAGAAGTGGGGGAAATACACTGAAGCGGCTAGCTCCTGTGCACAAATGGGATTCCAGGGTGTCATTGCTTAGAACCTGAATCTAAGCCCTGAAGATGCAACATTATGTGAAGCAAACTTCTCTTCTTACAAAACAACCTGAGAAATCACGGAGTTCCCCTTCTTTAAAGTTTCAATTGATCAATGCTGGGAAGGCTCAAAAGTCACTTTTCACTCCCTCAAAATCAAAGGCTTTCTGAGACACATGAAAACCAAAGCCTCAACTGCGGTGAATGTATTCCAATCCACCCTAAGAAAATAGGGCAGGACACCTGAGCATCTTTTCTTTCTCATAAAGTGAGACCTTCCAGTCCCTAGTCTTGCTAGAGCCCCTACCCGGGTGACAAGCCTTTTTAAAACAGGTGAGATGTGAGTGAAGCACAGAGAGCCACCCTCTCCCACGCCCCGCAGCCTTGCGCCAGGGGAGCGGAGCCTGGGCAGCTTGTTCCTCCTGCCTGATGAGATGATGCTTAGGGTACCACTAGTGTCCCCTGCCTTTCTGCTTAAGGTGACTTACTGTGGGCAATCAGTAAGCCAGAAGATGGCAGACTCGCCAGAAGAAGCAGTGTAGCTCGGCCGAGACTTTGCCCGGGGGCTGCCCCTTCAACCTTCTCCCAGTGGCCCGGGGTGAGGATGGCAAAGCTCAGACTCTAAAGAGGGCAAGCTTCCCCTTTCAGGACCAAACTTCACAGGCTGGCAGGGGGCACAGGCTTCCGCTTTGGGTCGGTGCTCACCACTTGGGCGCAGCCCGAGAATCCCTAGATATGAACGACTGTCCCGCCTCCACTCCCCCCACGGCCCCCCGGCCGGACGCGCCCCCCGCCCCGCCCCCCGGCCGGACACGCGCCCACAGCACCTGGGCCGCCGCCTCCGGCCCCGGCGGCCGCTGACGCCGCCAGCTGCGCCCGCAGCCACGGGAGCACGTCCTTTCCGAGATCGAAGTCGGCGATCAGACGGAGAGCCATCGCCTGGACGCGGCCACGGAGCGGATCTGGGGCCCCGCGCCGCGGGCATTCCCGGCCCTCCGCGCACCACCGCGCCGGTCTCCCGCCCCTCCTTCTCTGCCCTCCCCAGTCCCCCCCAACCCCCCTCCGCTGCCGCTTTCGGTTCCGCCGCCTCCCGGACCCGAGAGGCCCCAGCACCGCCTCCTCCCGGCCCGCGCCGCGCACGCGAGCCTCGAGCTGTGCACACCCGGCTGGGGGGAAGGGAGACTGCAGCGCGGGGACCAGACCCCACGCGGCCCCAAACCCGCCGCTGGCACTCTCCAGGCGAAAGGCAGAGAAGGAGGATTTGGTCTTTAAGAGCTGTGGATGTCAATGTATGGTAAAAACCACTACAATATTGTAATGTATTTAGCCTCCAATTAAAATTAAAAAAAAAAAAAGCTGTGGAGATGGGGGTGAACCGATGGTTTCCAAATTATGCTGCACGTTACATGTGGGCACTAGGTGTTGGGTTTTTTTGTTTGTTTTTGTCTCTTTTAATGCCCAGGTGAGTCCACTGTGCAACAAAGTTCAGAAACCAGTTGGCTAAAGAGAGGTAATACTAGCTGGTTCACCTGAGAAGTTTCAAGTTCATCGCCAGGGCCAAAGCAGGTGGCGACTTGGGCTTGTTCGACCCAATTTCAGGGTGACGGTGTTTTATTAGTATTATTTAGGTAGTCAGTGGCAGCGAGGAGTGTGTGAAGAAGATGATTCTATTTTAAGAGAGATGCAGAGACACTGGAAAGGGTCAGCTGGCTCAACACAAACAGGTCCTCTGCCTGTTACCAGATTGTTCCCTACACTGGCTTCAACGAAGCTGAATTAAGGCTCCCTTTGCACTTTGTCTTTGAAAAGTGCTCTCCTTCCTCCAGGGTCACCTGTCACTTTGGACACCATCTCAGCCCCATACAAGTACAAACAAGTCCAGTATTGTTTTTTGTTTGTTTGTTTGTTTTTAATCTTGCCACTCAGGTTTCTTTCCAACTGAGAGTGTTCTGTCACTACTGCTTGCTGTACCGTTGGCACTGCAGATCCAGTCCATCCTGAACATGAATGCCAAGTTATTACTCTCCCTCAAAGCTGTCTTCATGTCCCTATGTAAAGACCTGGAGGAAAGCTGACCCCAGGAACAAGTGCCTATGCTTTACCTGACCCTTCCAGCCTTTTCACTAGACCTTCAGTTCCAGGTTGGCCTGACTCCAGAAACCCTCTGACTCCATCTTCCCTCTCAAAAAAAAAAAAAAAAAAAAATCACCAGAGCCTTCCAAGCTGGATCCACAAAGTCTTCTCACAGCTTCAGCCCCTAGTGACCTTCCTAACCCTGAACCTCTAGAGAAGTGTTGCTAGTGCACCTCATTTGACAATCAAATACCACATGGAGACATGAACTGAATCTTGCCTCTTGGCACACTTCTCTGCAGCAGCACCCAGAAGTTGCTCATCTGTTACTGAAGAATGAGTAAACGCAGTAACAGACTAAGGAGCTCTGTGCCACGTTTCTCAAAGTGAAGGTCTGAAAATACCTGCATTGCAGTCATCTGGGAAGCTGTTTTACAATGTGGACTCCTGGGCTCTAGTCTAGACCTGGGCAAGGCACAGAAAATGTGCATTTTAACCAGGGTCTTAGGTTGCAAAGAGCTGGACACGACTGAACTAACAGCTTCACTTTTTTTTAAGGTGATTTTTTAGGCTTGCTAAGATCTGAAAACTTCCTCTGTAAATAAAGATAAAAGAAACTCTTGATTTTCCCATACAGACCTGTTTCTCCAGTTGAGGTAATGGTTGATTTCAGGTAGTTCTCCACTCTCACCACCATATTCATAAGAAAATCATCCTACCTGTAAAGTGCATGAAACTCTTAACAGAAATGCTTACTCAGGCTGATCATATTGGGAGTGCATAAAAGTGAGATTACTGAAAACCAAAAAATAAAATTAAAAAAAAAAAAAGAATATAGAGAAGCTGAGAAATAATAACAAAGATACCAGAAAGATACAGCCAACATCATAAAAACAGCATACAAATAGCTGAGCTTCGGAGATAATTCACTAAGGAAAAGACTAAGGAATGGTGAGGCTTTTGTAATTGTTTAGTCGCTAAGTTGGGTCCGACTCTTTCGTGAACCCTTGGACTCTAGCCTACCAGGCTCCACAGTCCATGGGATTCTCCAAGCAAGAATATTGGAGTGGGTTGCCATGCTCTCCTCCAGGGAATCTTCCAGACACAGGGATGGAACCCTGCATTGACAGGGGGATTCTCTACCACTGAACCAAAAGAAAAGCTCTGAAAGGTGACTTACTGGTTTACAATTTGTGGAAGGTAAATAGGAAAAGAATGATGATGGATTATCCTTCAGCTCTAGAGAAGGCAGAACTGGATAATGTCCTATCTTCTTTAGTTAAAAAGCTGCTTCTTTGAGGGATGTGGTAACTTGACTGTGGTAATCACTTCATAATTTATATTTACATTAAACTTCACATTGCACACTTTAAATATTACCTCCAAAAAAAAGAAAATAAAGCTGCCTCAGAATCATTAGGTACTGGAACTGTCTTTTGGATAGAGTAGGGATATTCTGCTTTTGGGGGGTTTTAAGAATTAACCATCATCTTTCTTAATACCAGAGCACAGGACAGAGTTGGAGATTTAAAGATCTTATAATCAAGACCTTTATTTTATAGATGAGGACACAGGCTTAAAAAGGTGAAATTAGTGTCTGGTCTCAAGAAGCAAAGCTAGTAGTTAACCACAAGGTTGGGATCAGAACACAGGTGTATGGCAACCGGTGTTTGTGTTGATTATGTCTAGTGACTTAGAAGATTCAAATTACCATTCAGCCTGAGGATTCCTAGTTATACAAATACTACACCCTAACTGGAGTTGAATTCTGGGACCACAGTGAGAAATCACAGAATTTGAACCACATAACTTCCTCAAAATAGCCTAGGTTCTTTGTAGTTTCATCTTGAGTTTTAGAGTTGAAGAAAACTAAAGGAATTGGAAATGTGGGATGAGTGATTAATTTCTAAATGAAAATAGTTTATCTAATAGAGATGTTAAAATTAAAAGTTTCACACACACTCTCCTAACCAAGAAAGAACTTCTAAAAGTGGGAAACTATACATGTTGATTTTGAAGAAGTTAGAAAATGGCCTCTTTAACAAATCTAACCAAAAATTCTAAAATTGCAAGGATTTTAAGGAAAGGACTATAGATACTAGGTTTGAAACTGGCACTCATTGGAGCAATAAATGTGCTAAAAGAACATTTTTATTTGTAAGCTCAAGTGGTTGAAATTAAGTAGAAGTGAATCAACTAAAATCCAAATCTCATAGTTTGGAGGCTAATCCTTTGAAAGCACAGCTGATAATTTTTTCATGAAAATTAATAGAGGTTGTCAGAAAACCCATTAGAATCTAAGCAATGCATAAGTAAGGATCCTCTTCCTCAACAGTTAGAATCAAACATGGAACAACAGACTCGTTCCAAATTGGAAAAAGAGTACATCAAGGCTGTATATTGTGACCCTGCTTGTTGAACTTCTATGCGAAGTACATCATGCAAAATGCCAAGCTGGATGAATCACAAGCTGGAATCAAGACTGCTGGGAGAAATGTCAACAATCTCAGATATGCAGATAATACCACCCTAATGGCAGCAAGCAAAGAGGAACAAAAGATTCTCTTGATGAGGATGAAAGAGGAGAGTGAAAAAGAGGGCTTACAACTCAACATTCAGAAACTAAGATCATGGCATCCAGTCCCATCACTTCATGGCAAATAGATGGGGAAACAATGGAAACAGTGACAGACTTGATTTTCTTGGGCTCCAAAATCACTGCAGATGGTGACTGCAGACATGAAATTAAAAGATGCCTAATTACTTTGTCAACAACGGTCCATCTAGTCAAGGCTATGGTTTTTCCAGTGGTCATGTATGGATGTGAGAGTTGGACTAGAAAGAAAGCTGAGTGCCGAAGAATCGATGCTTTTGAACTGTCATGTTGGAGAAGACTCTTGAGAGTCCCTTGGACTGCAAGGAGATCCAATCAGTCCCTCCTAAAGGAGATCAGTCCTGGGTGTTCATTGGAAGGACTGATGCTAAAGCTGAAACTCCAGTACTTTGGCCACCTCATGCGAAGAGTTGACTCATTGGAAAAGACCCCAATGCTGGGAAAGATTGAGGGCAGGAGGAAAAGGGGACGACAGAGGATGAGATGGTTGGATGGCATCACCAACTCAATGGACATGGGTTTGGGTGGACTCCAGGAGTTGGTGATGGACAGGGAGGTCTGGTATGCTGCAGTTCATGGGGTTGCAAAGAACTGGACATGACTGAGCGACTAAACTGAACAGAACTGAACTCCTTGGAAGAAAAGCTATGACAAACCTAGACAGCCTATTAAAAAGCAGAGATATTACTTTGCCAACAAAGGTCCATATAGTCAAAGCTATGGTTTTTCCAGTAGTTGTGTATAGATGTGAGAGTGGACCATAAAGAAGGCTGAGCACCAAAGAATAGATGCTTTCAAACTGTGTTGCTGGAGAAGACTCCTGAGAGTCCGTTGGACTGCAAGGAGATCAAACTAGTCAATCCTAAAGAAATCAACCCAGAATATTCATTGGAAGCACTGATGCTGAAGCTCCATTCGATACTTTGACTACCTGACAAGACAAGTCAACTCATTAGAAAAGATCCTGATGCTGGAAAAGATTGAAGGCAGGAGGAGAAAGGGATGACAGAGGATGAGAGGGTTGGATGGCATCACCCACTCAACAAACATGAGTTTGAACAAGCTCTGGGAAGCTTGGAGTGCTATAATCCAGGGGTCGCAAAGAGTCGGACACAACGTAGAGACTGGACTGAACTGAAGATTCTCCTGAACTTTCTAGGAAATGATAATCTAAGTTTTGTAACTAAGATGATAAAGTACTTCCAATAAGGTGGCTTCTTATGTAGATATTGAGAATGCTGCTTTCCTG